GCTAAACTTAATGATGATTTATCAATCCTCATCTAATTTATTTCCAGTATGATGCTGTATTTACTTTGTAATTCAAATTTCTCTTTTCTTTTGTGAAAGGCAAGTTTTCCAAAGTATTGTACAATTTAAATGGCTTTTTTTTTTTCCAATTTCCTTTTTCTGCTCCTCTTCTTTCTTTCATCTTTTGTATATTAATGTTCTCAAGATCCTTTCTTTTGTCGCTTTCCTTACACAGTTGCATGTATCTCTAAAATTTCCATTCCCTGTTAGTGCCAATGATTCCTTAATCCATGCCAGATTTCCCTAAATTTGAGCTGTTCTCTCAATGTCAGATGCCCCTTGGCATTCATATACTCAGTAAGTTTCTAACTTGATTAATTATTTTATACCCTACAGAATGTCACTCACCATCTAGCTCTACAAGGATTGAGTCACTAGCCACTGCAGTCACTGACCTCCACACCCTGAAAGGAGTTCAGAGAAGAGATAGGAATGAGGCACTCTGTGCTCTAAGAAAACTGGCAGAACTGGCTTTCAGATAGTTGGATATTTTCAGAAGGAATTTTATGAACACAATTTCTTGCATCTTCCCATACTTAGGTATATACTGAAGTCTTAAAGATATATCTCTGCCTCTTGAATAGCAATAGTCTTCCACCAAGATGTGTGTTCGATTGCATGTCTCCCTTCTCCAAGATCATGTATAAACTAATCTCATCTTAACTCTTCAGAGCAGTTCCTCCAAGCTAGTCAGTTGCATGTATCTCTAAAATTTCCATTCCCTGTTAGTGCCAATGATTCCTTAATCCATGCCAGATTTCCCTAAATTTGAGCTGTTCTCTCAATATCAGATGCCCCTTGGCATTCATATACTCAGTAAGTTTCTAACTTGATTAATTATTTTATACCCTACAGAATGTCACTCACCATCTGGCTCTACAAGGATTGAGTCACTAGCCACTGCAGTCACTGACCTCCACACCCTGAAAGGAGTTCAGGGAAGAGATAGGAAGGAGGCACTCTGTGCTCTAAGAAAACTGGCAGAACTGGCTTTCAGATAGTTAGGTATTTTCAGGAGAAATTTTATGAACACAATTTCTTGCATCTTCCCATACGTAGGTATATACTGAAGTCTTAAAGATATATCTCTGCCTCTTGAATAGCAATAGTCTTCCACCAAGATGTGTGTTCGATTGCATGCCTCCCTTCTCCAAGATCATGTATAAACTAATCTCATCTTAACTCTTCAGAGCAGTTCCTCCAAGCTAGCTGAGAGGCTGCCTGTTGGCTACAGTACCTGTGTGCATGCTCAGTCATTCAGTCATGTCAGACTCTTTGTGACTCCATGGACTGTAGCCCACCATGGAATTTTCCAGGCAAGAATACTGGACTGGGTTGCTATTCACTTCTCCAGGGGCTCTTCCTGACCCAGGGATCGAATCCATGTCTCCTGCTTGGCAAGCAGATTCTTAACCACTGCACCACCTGGGAAGCCCATAGCCCCTCCCCACCCCCCCAAATACTGTAACTCACAGCTCTCACATTGTGTGTTTGTATTTCAATCATCACACATTTACTTGCCAAGTTCCATTAATTCCACCGTTTTAATACCCTAGGGATTTAATACTTCCTGTTTAGCCCCACTGCTACTACTTTAGGTTAAACTCTGTCATCTTTCATATGTTCTTCTATCTCCAGTTTCCAACCCTCATTTAAGCATATGTTATTATTCATACGATCACTTAAATACTTCTCCCAGACTCCAGAATAATTTGTTTCCTTAATCTCCTGATAGCAAAAAAGACATGTCTATTGGTTGATGTTTTGTAAGTAAAAAAAGAATAAATATTATCTTTATTGTAGTTCTTTTTCAAGGAATAGCTACTCTAGCATTTTAGTGTATAAGATCTCATTTACTGTATAGGATTACATTTTCATATGTAGGATTTCTATTTATTTTCCAAATAGTAGTATACTTATTTTAACTAATATTAATATATTAAAATATGGTTATATATTGAAAATATGGTCAATATATTGAAAATATATCTTTTCACCCTTAAAAAGTATGATATGTGTGTATGTTAGTCACACAGTTGTGTATGATTCTTTGCGACTCCATGAACTGTAGCTCGCCAGGCTCCTCTGTCCATGGAATTCTCCAGTCAAGAATACTGGAGTGGATTGCCATTCCCTTTTCCAAGGGATCTTCCCAACCCCGGGATTGAACCTGGGTGTCCCACATTGTGAACAGATGCTTTACCATCTGAGCCATCAGGGATATACATGTTTTCATATCAAGATTTATGATACTGTATTTTCTATTAATTTATAAATTAATATAATGAAATTATTATGTATAATGAAACTGTATATAATGAAATTATCTTATCACTGTTGTTGAATACTGATGGAGATTTAGGATTTTTTTTATTACTATTAGAAATTATTCTATGGTGAATGTAGTATTTTGTAAGTCTTTTTTGTATAATTATGATTGTTTCTTTAGAAATATTTGTAGAAGCAGAATTTCTGGAACACATATGTTTTTGACACATTTCTATAGATGTCTGACACATTTTTGACAAAATTTCCTATAGAGCATGCTCTGTTTAAATTCCCAGCAGCTTTTTCGATTTTGTCCACTTTTCCCACTGAATTTCATCATAATAAATATTTTAACAACTTGTAAGCCAAAGATGGCATCTCATTGTTTTAACTGCATGTTTGTCCTTAAACACTTTACTTTCTTGTTCACTGAATTTCCAGTCACATTCTTAGCTTTTTTTTTAATCTTAATAATTACTTCTTTAAAAATTTATGCACATTTTATATATTCCAAAGCTGTTATCATTTTGTCATACAGTACTGATTTCTTTCCTCAGTATTTACCCTTTAAATACAAATTAATCATTGACTTTCTTTTGCACCATTTCCTTATTCTTGCTGTTAATCCATGTCTCTTTTTGACCTGAAGGTAGTTGGTATATAAAAAAACTAATAGTGCCTTCACAAAAAGACTTTGTAATAACTAATTACATAGTTTTATGAATTCCTTAGTCAAGGAAGAAGGCAACGATTATATTTTAAGTCATGTTTGTATCTCAATGATAAACCAAATCACTTGCACACCTGTATGCCCAGTAGGTGTTGAATTGGAGTACTGTAATTCCTGCACACCTATCCTGTAGACCCCTGAAAAACTGCAAATATTTTCTACCCCATGCTCCAGCATGAAGAACCATTAGCTATTTTCTGGGTCTTACTCAAGAGCTTTTTTAATGTTGTTTTATAGTTAAGAGCACAGAGTCAGACACGACTGAAGTGACATAGCAGCAGTAGCATAGTTAAGAGCCAAGGTTATGCAGGTAGCCAGTCCTGAGTTTGAGTTCAGGCTTGACCCTATCAACTTCCTAGTTGTGTAACCTTGATGAAAGTCTCAGATTGCCCATCTGTAAAATGGATCATTATGGTATCTATCTCTTTGATATGTTATGAGACTTAGATGTTTACCCAATTTGAGACAGGGGCATAATTAGCACTTGATAAATGATGACTATTATTTTAATATTATCATTACAATAAAAATTAGTTAAGTACTTCAGATGAATTGTAATACTGTATCTGTTAGAGTTTGAATTATTATTACTTATTGCATCATTAACTTATTACATGTTACCTGTGTTCCCTCTACAGAGAAATAAGAACAGATATCCAAGTCTTTAAGGATGTATTTTTAAGATAAATTATGTCGGAATACATGAAAAAAATTTGAATGAAATACATATTCCTTTAGCTATTAGAAAGATTAGTAATGAGTATTCTGCTTATTAAAGTAGTCATATCAGTCCTGATAGGCTGTTATTCTTAAATAGTAAGCAAATTCCAGATATGTACATATCCTTCAATTTTGATTAGATAATAACTAACTCTAATTAACCTACACTAATACTTGGCAACTTTCCTATCTTAATAAACCCAGGTAAGTGAATTTTAAAAAAATAGTATAAAAACATTTAAAAAATCTATTAATATATTATTATGTTTATATTAATAAGAAAGAAAGAATAAAATGATTTTGCTATAACTGGGAACAAAGAAAGGAGAATAATCAGTCTTAAAAATCATTTGCAGTTAACATTGCACAATAAAGGAAAATCACCCACAAGAAATTTTCAAGCATATTCATGGTGGAATAGCAAAGACATGTGACAATGGGTGTCTCAAAAGAAATACATTTTTACTCCCATAAGACTGTTTTCAATCTTTAGGTACTGATAGAAACACAATGAGGAAATATAAATACCAGGAGAGAAATAACATGATAGCAGGAGAGAAATATTAGTATTTCCTTTCTTAAGTTTGTGTTATATTTTCAAATTTTGTCTTTAGGGAATTTTAGGACAATAGTTATTGTGGTACATTAAGAAGAGTTTAAGTTTTTTTTTTTTTCTATCAAATAAGTATATACATAAGAATAGACTTTTCTAATTATTTTACTGAGCTCCCTGAATAAAGAACTGAAGAAAGTATTTTAAAACTTAGTCTTTTATGAAAATATTATAATTGTCATACTCATACACTCTGTGATTTTGAAATGTATTTAAACAACATGCTAATATTGTTCTGAGTCAAAAAACTTACTTATTGCAAAATAATTTATTGTTTAAATTGTGATCAATCCTACTAAGCTTTGTCACAAGTAAGATAACTTGAGTTGCCCAAGATTTTCTTGATTTCAGAACTGAAAGTCCCATGTCTGGGGAGCAGCCTCAGTCTGAACAGACTGAGATGGTCACCCTAGTTACAGGTCACTTAAATATACAAAATACAAAATCAAGCCAAGAATAAGACTGTTAGTATGACACAAAATTTTAAATTCACCTTAAAGTGAGCAAAATTTATTATGAATAGAGTATTTTCACAGTCTGATAAAAGCAAAGAAATGCTGCTTAATATAGATTAACAATGATCAAAATTTACCTTAATAAGATACTTACTTTTGTAAAAATTCTTCATGGCCACATATACTTAAAAGATGATCTCTGGGGAATAACTGGTCATTTGTGCAAAAATGTGGAATTTCTGCAATTAGGTCTTTGACAAGATAATTAGCTAAAAATAAGATTGAATAAAAGATGTTAATAAGAGCTCATTATATATTGGTTAAGTAAAATATTTTGAGCACAAAAAATGATGCATGCATTATGAACTGTTATAACTATCTTTATCAAGAGGAATTAAAATGAGATACATCACACTTACTGGTCTGATTATATGTGGAGCTTTTTTTTTAAGTATTCTTTGCATTTTCTTTGATCACTCTATCTTCATATAATCGAACAGAGCTAGGTATTTCATTTCTCATTCTGAAATCTTTGGTAATGGTAGCTTCTGCATTAAAAAAAAGTGTTCTACTGTGGTCATCCTTAGAGATTTGAGAGATGCCAAAGAGATATACAGAGTGAATGCTAGGTGGCAAGCCAGGAGTCTAATCCAAATATGGCAGCTTCCAAAGCTGGTGCTCTTAATAATTCTGAGTCTTTACACCTGATCGTTCTTCCTTTCCTGTGCAGATCACCTCAGATTCTGTCTTGGACAGCATTATAATAACCTGGAAGGACATTGATCTTTTTCTTCACCTTCCCTAGGACTCAAAAGTGTCAGCATATTATAGGGTAAAAACCCTTTGCCATCTCATAATTACATTCTACATATCCCCCCATAATGACACACATATACTGTTTAATTATGTTTGCCTATGAAATATTTTCTATTTATAGATGATAAAGAGGGATTCATTATCATATATGATAANGGAAGGACATTGATCTTTTCTTCACCTTCCCTAGGACTCAAAAGTGTCAGCATATTATAGGGTAAAAACCCTTTGCCATCTCATATTTACATTCTACAATATCCCCCCATAATGACACACATATACTGTTTAATTATGTTTGCCTATGAAATATTTTCTATTTATAGATGATAAAGAGGGATTCATTATCATATATGATAATAGTTAGAAATTATGGACAGAGGAACCTGTTGGGGTACAATCTATGGGACCACAGAGAGTTGGATATGACTGAGAGGCCAAGCACACAGCCAAAAATGCTTTCAATGTGATCTTGAATGAAAGTAGGTACAACGGATTGTATTGATGATCCTTATTGAAGATTTGAACAGCATACTGCAAATCCTCAATTGCACTTAGTCAAGTTGAGTTTTGCTTATAATTATATGTTTACATTGATGTGACTTCTTTTACCGCCAAACCATTGGAAAAGATTTTTGTCACAGACTGGCTAACAAAATGTAGTATAAGTGGTATTATTGAACTTGCCATGAAGAAAAAAAGGAAGCATATAATGCTGGATTTAAAAGTGTGTATTTTATGGGAGATCAAATTGTTATCAATAAAATGGTTAGAGAAACAAACAGTAGTGATCATCAGGGAATTAGAGATTACAGAAATTCCCTGACATAGGAGAGAGTATCTTATATGTGCTATTGCTTGGTAATATTGACTGAAATATTATGAATTGCAGCTAAAATAAAATATAGCCACAGGCAAAATCAAGACTGGAAAGGCTTTGGAAAGAAGGGGAGAGCATTGCCAATGTAAAATGGCAGGGAAATATCTCCAAAGACTCCAGTTTATTTTAATTAATTTGACTTTCCCATTTCCAAGACTGTATTGCCTATGCTATTTTGTAGTGTGTATGAATTCATTATTTCACTACAGTTAATTGTTGCAGCTTACATGAAGGACACCATAAGCTAGTTTCTAGCTGTTTCTCCTCTTCTGTGCTTTGGTGTCATGTCTTCTGCTACTCTTTGGATGTCTCATTATCACTTCAAATTCAGCCTGTCTGTATCTGAAATTACCATTTCTCTCCTTGAAGCCAAACAGTTAAGTTTCTGTAAGTTAAACTTTTCATCCATATGGTAAGCCAACAAGTACCATGGTTTATTTTAAGTAGATTTTATACCTGTATCTTCAATTTGGCAGCTAATATTATCCTTTTTCCAGTTTCTCATAGTTGCCAACTTCATACAACCCTTCTCAATCTGTTGACCATATTGCCTACCATATTGAAAAGGCGAAGACCCATTCGTGATTCTTTAAATTATGCTACTTTGCAGCTTAAATCTAGTGTTTATGCATCCTTCTTGATCCCTTTACATCTCTTTTGACATAAAAAAGTATCACTGTTGTTTTGCTTAGTGCTAAGTCATGTCCGATTCTTTGCGACCCCATGGACTGCAGCACACCAGGCTTCCCTGTCCTTCACTATCTCCTGGAGTTTGCTCAGACTCATGTCCATTGAGTCAGTGATGCCATTCAACTATCTCATCTTCTGTCATCCCCCTCTTCTTCTACCCTCAATCTTTCCAGCATCGGGGTCTTTTCCAGTGAGCTGGAGTATCCTTGCTTTTTATTAAATCTAACTTCTTCACATATGATTCTTCCATCACTGGTTTGCTGTTCCATCAATTTAAAGCCCCTCTCTTATATATATGTAGTATTCCCCACTCTAAAGATGCTTTTGTCTTTTCTTTAAAATGTTCTTTTTCTGTTTAATATTCCGATAAAATCACTCCTTTTCCATTATATTCCCTTAAGGATAGTATCTTATTTATTTATTTAATTTTTACCTTCTCATTACTGCCAAATTTCTTTAGAGTACATAACTTCTGATAATAGTTCTCAATTACTCTTTAATCTTTGCAAACTGATTTCTACCATTTTACAGGTCACAAATGACTCCCTAATACAATTCCAACTATGTGTCATCTAAATCTAGACAGTGAAGACACTGGCTTTAGAATAATCTTGGAGTTGGAAAAAAGGACAGGGAATCTTCTTCACTGAAGTGATAGCTGAAGTTTGTAGAAGCAGAGAAGACCTTGTTCAAAACACCTGCTCCTCCAGAAGGATTCTATTTTCTCACTCTGGGGGAAACAGTTCTCTTTGGATGAGAACCTTTCACTGTCTCCTCCTCTTTCTGTCTAGATTTCGTTATTCCTTAAGTTTCTAGCAACAGCTTCTGTCTTTTATTGGTCATTCTTGAAATGCTCTTCAGAATTTTATTCTTTAGAGTACATCTATATTATTAGTAAAGCATTAATATAAAGTAGCAAAGGGATCACAGTTTTGGCCTAAAAATTAATTTAAGATGAAAACATTTGAAATCTTATCTGTACTTTTCTTATCTGAATAAAGCGATGCCTCATAATACAGGTGGTATTAATTTCCTTCTGAGAGAGCTTCCTGCAAATTCCAGAAAGGAGACAGACCACACACCCACTAGCATAAAAAGATGTATAATGATTGTTTTTTCTAGCTGAAGCTTTACACACCTCCTACTGCACACATTTTTATGTTATGCTGTTATATAAATGTTTACCTCTGAGTTTCAGCAGGTCACTCATTAATGAATAGCCCCTGCATGCCTGTGTAAAGAAACCTTGTCTTTTGTCCTGTTAATCTGTCTATTGTCAATTATATCACAGTCCTAATCCCACTTCAAATTTAAATTGGCAAAGGAGAAGTTTTTCTCCTAAGAGTAGCATACACTACTCTGTATATTTTCATAAATGTGTCTTGTCTCCCCCTCTACTTTTTCTCCCTTCTCCTAATCCGTCCCTTCCTCCTCCTCCTTTTCTAAACACTCTTAGTATCTTTGAGGCCACAGACATCCTCTTTACCACTGTACATCTCTAACACTTAACACAATGACCTAATCACTTTACTGAAACTTCTTGTAAAAGTCAAAAGTGGCCTCTGGCTTGCCAAATCCAATATTGGAAATTAAATATTATAAACTGGAAGATCAGGAGTGGTCTCCTTAGTTCATAATTCTTTCTTCTTCTCCAGCAACTGAAGTCAACTTTACTTTATGAAGTCAACTTTATGATATCTGAGTATCATTCTGGTAGGATCAAGGTGCAACAGCACTGACCTTGGATGTCCAATCAGAACCCTGCTTTCAGAAATTGGGACATGGATCTGAAAGCAGCTCTTTTGCCCCTTTTCTCTTTGCCCATTTCTGTTCCCCTGTAACCTTGAAAGAACCTAATTAACCTGTTGATTCTTTTCTGAGATAAAAAGAAGTAAGATGAAGAATTAAGTAGTTAAAGAATGATTAGTTCTCTAAAGCAACACCCCACCCCACCTTAGCGATCCTGCAGACATGTCCCACAGGCAAGATAACATCTGAAGAGAGAGAGTCAGTCAACCTCCACAGAACATAGAAAAATGCAGAACCCAGCCTTCTGCCTCCATGATTCACTGAGATTCTTCCCCCACTTGTTTCCCTTTAAAAACTGTCAGGGCTGAGCAGAATCTTCAGAGTGGCCTTGGGGCATGAGTCCATCTTCTCCACAGATTGCTGGCTTTTCTGATTAAAGCACCTTTAATAATTCCTCCTGATTATTGATTTTTAGCAGTGGGCAGCCAAACCTGAGTTTGGTAACAGATCCAACAGACTGAACTTTCTTTAGAGATTGAACTTTCTTTAGAGATTGAACTTTCTTAAGGTGGCTGGCCAAGGAACATTTAAGCTTGAGCCTGGCTTTCCATGTGTTTCAGAAAAGTAAGGGAAATGAGTCAGCAGAAAGTAAGAGAAACATAAGAAACAATTATACAGAGAGGAGATAAGGTGAGAGACATACAGGAATTTTGGACTGCTTGTACATCAGAGTTTTCTTCCCAAATGTTTTCTGAATTCCTACTCCTAAATTCTAAAGAAATACCTGTAATCCTTAAAAAAATTTTTTTAACTTACATCAGCAGGAGTTGGTTTCTGTTAGTTTTAAAGCAGATGATCCTAATGCCCCTACATAATATTGTTATGTTTACAGTCATCTGTACTAACTTGGAGCCTTAGCTAGAGTAAGAAAGGAAAAAAAAAAAAAAAAAACCCAACAAAATCTAGTAGTCATAATGAAACTACAGTCCATGGGGCTACAAAGAGTCAGACATAACTGAGAGACGAATACTTCTACTTCAATTAAAAAATTGAAATCAACCTTGAATATTCATCAGAAGGACTGATGCTGAAGTTGAAGCTCCAGTAACTTTGGCCATCTGATGTGAAGAGCCAAAAAGACCCTGATACTGGGAAAGATTGAAGACAGGAGGAGAAGGGGACAACCGAGGATGAGATGGTTTGATGGCATCACTGATTCAATGGATATGAGTTTGAGCAAACTGCAGGAGATAGTGAAGGACAGGGAAGCCTGATGTGTCGCCATCCATGGGGTCGCAGAGTCAGACATGACTTAGCAACCGAACAATTTGTCAAGGAACAGCAGTTGATAGGTAGAAACTTAGTAGCAACAAATGTTGTTTGAAGAAAAAAATTGTTTTGCAAAAAGGTTGACTGTAACAGTGAAATAAATCTTAAACAATTTAAAGAGATTCTAAAGCTTTAGAGAAGTAAGAATCATCTGGTGAGTTTGATAAGATAGATACCTGGGATCTATCTGCAGAGACTGATTCAGTAGATCCGCTAACTATGCTGGACTGACAGGACTATTACAGTTCTTACTCTGAAGATACAGGCTGTGTATCAATGTCTTTTCCATCTCCCAGTTTATTTACTTTTGAATAAAACAGTTGTTTCTAAAGGATAAGAACAGCCATTTCCACTTACATATATGCAGGGTTTGCAATAGAAGATTTAACATAGGAAAGTAGCCAGCAGCTGATTCATGGTACAGTGCTGTTAGCTAGCTAGATTGGTAAAGATTACAGTTAAACCAAAAACAACTGTAAATGTCTGTCTTTAAGTTTTCTCTGGTGCATCTCATTTGAAGCAATTAGAAACAAATTGTCCAGCTAAAACAAGATAGGAGCAGTTGCTATTGCTGCCTTCTCTCCCACAAATGTACACACACACTATATTGCATTCCTTTTTGTATCCCACCAGACACACACACACTATGATATATTCATTTTTGTATCCCACCATCACCCAACACAGTCCATGAACATGAATGGGTTCCACAAATGCTTCTAAATGCTTTATTGAATGGAAAACTTTTTGCCAGTGCACAACTACACAGCCAGCCAAGCAGACTTGGAAAAGGAATTTTGTGACATTATAGAGAGAAATTTCATTAGACCTGCCTGATGGCTAATGCCTGACAATCCTATGGGGGATAATACCGTTTGCCAGATTTCCAAGAGAAAAGATTTTTCTTGCCTGGCAACAACTCAGTCAGTGAGAGGCTGTCACAAGTCAGCCAATGAAAAGCCACTATACTGGGAAACTCCCTTTGTCTCTGATGGATTTTTGTAATAGCCCCTCCCAACTTCCCCTTCTCCTTTATGAAAGTTTTCCTCTCCTTTGCTTTACTGGGACTTGCCTGTGGTTTTCCATAATTACATGTCCCAAATTGTAATTTTTTGCTTCTCCCAAATAAACCCATTTTGCTGATGAAAAAGGAATACATTGTCATTTGTAAAATATGAAAATTCACCCTGAACAGTGACTGTTGCTTCATTGACATTTTCTTTGAAGCTTGAACTCGTGCCTTTCTCAAGCCAGAAGTCACTCATTTATTTATTCATTGATGGTTACATTCTCTTGTTTGTGTCACATTGGTAAGTACAATTCTTGGCAGCTCATTTTCTTTAAAATTTGGATTTTACACAAATATTTGGATTTTACATAAATAATTGAGCCCAGGTCATTTGTACATTCTGCACAATTACTTGCTGTGTCAGAGTCAGAGAATTGCAAAATAGTTTCTCCTTGGAGCCAGGAGCCTTGAGTTTGAACTCTGACTCTCTTATTCAGTAGTTTTACGGTCAGAGGCAAGTTATTTGACCAGTTTCTTTGTTTGCACAAATGAGGATATTTATATCTACTTTAAAGTTTTATGTGAGAAAAGGCATATAAAAGACTTTTGTAGAATGTAAAGCAATATATGCATGTAATGTATCATAATTATCATTATATATAGTTATAGCTGAATCCCTGTAGAGCTATATTTTTATGCCCACATGTAGAATATAACATAAAATTTGTAACTAGCTATTTAAAATGCTTTTGATGATGAATATCAAATCTTGGATTATTTTTCCTTTTTTGTTAATATTGCAGAAACCTAAACTTTCTAGTACTTTTCCTGAATGAAAAATTATGCATTCTGTGTAATATATCAGATATATTACATTCTTGACACTCTTCCTAACAATTTATGCAGCTTTAAAGTAGTGTACGCTCATTGAAGTAGCCCCATCTCTGTACCCTTAAACTCTACCAAAACATCCCTTCCTTAAGGGACCTCACAAGTGGAAAAGTACATGTTCATCCAATGGGCCTGGCATGCATAACGATCACCTTGTTTTCTGGGTTCCATCCCCAAAGTTTTTGACTCAGGAGGTAAGTGGAGGATTCCCACCCCCACCCCCATTTTTTTCTCCCAGCAGTTTTCCAAATAAGTCACTACTACTACAGCTCAAAGAACCACTGTTTAGGATAAACATATAGGCCACTCTTCCTTCTTTTACCCTCCTTCAAAGGTTTGCACTCCATTTCTGAATTGAGACGCTGGATGATCTAGCATTCAATCATATGATAAGATACTATTCAATGCATGCATGCATGAGTTAACCTTCTACCATTTTGGAGAATTAAATTTAAAATGTAAATTCATGACTCTTTCTTTTCTAAACCTTCACTGAGCATCTACTGTGGGCCCAAAATTTTTTGTGTGTACTCTTGTTCTGGTGACTCAGACAGTAAAGAATTCACTTCTAGTGCAGGAGAACTGGGTTCGATCTCTGGGGTGGAAAATTCCCTGGAGAAGGAAACGGCCACCCACTCCAATATTCTTGCCTAGAGAATTCCATGGACAGAGGAGCCTGGCAGGCTACAGTCCACGGGGCTGCAAAGAGCTGGACATGACTGAGTGACTTTGACTATTGCTCTCTGACAGCCTTTGCCTGCAGCCCCTTAAAGCATGGTTTAGTTTCCCGGCCAGAGATTGAAGTCAGGCCATGGCAGTGAGAGCGCTGAATCCTAACCACTAGACCCCAGTGACCAGTGACAAGGCCCTGGCCCATCAGATGTGTAGAAGTGAATTTTCACATAGAGATGGAAAGTAGTGAAACAAGTAAAGTGTTTATTAGGAGGAAAAGAGCACATGTGGATAGGCACATGGGTGGGCTGAGAGAGAGAGTCATGCCCTCACAGGAGTTTGAATCCCTTTAATGGGGTGTTTCTTCTGGGTTTCCTTTGGCCATTCATCTTGCTTTGCATGGTTCTGAGTCTGTATTTGGTTTATCTCAGGGTCCTTCCGTGGGTGCAGGCACATCTTTTAGCCAAGATGCGTTCTAGCAAATGTGCTATTGGATATTGACATTACCTGCTATGCCCTGGCACTGTCTCCCTTTTTGACCTTCAGGGAGCCTTCCTGCACATGTATAGTTGGGAAGATCTCTTTGACATCAAGAATGAGGAATATGGGATCTTTTATCTCTTAACTGGGTAGGGCTCAGCTCCTCTCTCACTCTTATTTTGGAGTATCTGTCTACAGGGGACAAACTCTGGCTGCATAGCTTGGGACCCATCTGTCTCCTGTCTCACTATGATATTTTATTTTATCATAAAACTATATTTCTTGAGATACATGGCTTAAAAATATGTCATAATAGGAAACCAAATTCCATAAATTAGAGAGCCTCTTGAAGGGTGTATAGCAGGAATGTTAACAGCATTTTTAGGCATTTTTAGGTATGGTTACTTAAGTATTAGGAAAAAACACAAATGAAATTGGATATATAAATCCATTCTACTATGGCTTTCCAGAAAGTTTGGAGACTCTCTTAAGAAAGTTGTCTTTCAAATTCAATTTGGTCTTTTTTTTTTGAATGAAAGAGCTTTGGATATTTAGATACCTAAATATTTTTGGTAGTATTTGGATACCAGCACATAGTAGGTCCTCAAAAAAATTGTTGTTGAGTGAACAGTGTGTTTGTGGACAAAATAATTATGCATATATAAATTTATTTTTTATGAGTACATGCCAACAAAAATTATTGAAAATTCATACATGAACTAGTTACTAGGCACTCAGGTAGCTTTTTATGATAATGATTAAATAAATGGTTCAACTCTTTAATCCCAAATGATCATTCAGCAGGCAGCTGCTACAGGTGATAAATAAACTAATGTTTACTTATATGTATATTTATTACACTTAAAACAGTCCAAAAATATAAAAATCAAAATAATTAAAATGAAAGTGCACTAATTTTTCAAAAATTTCAGAAAGCTGAACAAAAGAAAAAATGGCATTATATAAGTTTTCATTGATTTATTAGAGATTGGTCTTTAAAAAGGAGGCATCTACCTTTAGAAGTTCTTTTTTTAGATTAGCAAAAAGGGGATCTGTGATTTCTTGGTAACATCCCCTAGTGATCGAGTTTGTTTTTCAGTGGACAAACACCGATGCATTTGTTCAGCATTCTGTCGGTCCATTCAGGGTAAGATTGAGTTATTAAGCAGCAGGTATTCTCATTGTTCTAAACAGTATATTCCAGGTAAGAAGGATAAATTCATGCTAGTTTCGGACAGAGCCACAGAAGTCAGTCACTTATGTGCCAGTTAAATGAGAAGTTAATTTACTGCAAACCAAGCTATTAGCAAACAGCATGAGCAAGCCCAAAGTTATAAAACATTCATCTTTAGCAGATTTTCAGGGGAAAATTTTATTTGACTGTAAACAAAGAAACAATACCAGAAGTTGATTAATGAACTACTGTGTAATACATTTATACTTTTAACTATGTTAAAAATTATAGAGCTTTAACGTTCTATATGCAAGATTAGTCTGTTCAGGGATGTTAAAATAGACAAATTCATGCACGTTCTAGAAATGTCAAAGTTGAATGAAATAGCAGCACTCACTTTTTTACTTTGTTGCAAAAGGATGCCAAACTCATATTACTGCCTTGAGCTACTTCAACCAGCTGAATGGAACAACCTGTCAACTTAAAATAAAAATTGTTAAAATAGTTTTGTGTGGAGAAAAGGTAAATACAATTCTAAAATTTTTATTTTGTTTTAAAAAGCCATTCTGCTTTTAATTTTATTTTTAAAACTTTACTGAAACAATACAAATGGAAAAATACATAAATCTTAAATATATTTATATTTGAACTTTGAGGAATGTATGCAACTATGAATATTAATATCCAATCAAAATATACATTTCTATCACTTTAGAAAGTTCCCCCATATCTCCTTCCATCAGTCTCAACATTTATTTGGTAACTGTTAATTCACATTTCTGTCACCATAGATTAAGTGTATATGCTCTTGCGTTTCTGTCTTCTTTCATTTAAATCACCTATGTTTTAAAATTTATGCTGTCATACATTAGCAATAGTTTATCTTTTTTATTGCCTATTAGTAGTATTCTTTTTCATTACTATTCCACAGTTAGTTTACCCATTTTCTTGTTGATGGACAGGTGTGTTGTTTGTAGTTTTGGGGTATTGTAAAGAAAAATATTAATTTTCATATGCAAGTGTTTTTTGGACATGTGNATTCCACAGTTTGTTTACCGATTTTCTTGTTGATGGACAGGTGTGTTGTTTGTAGTTTTGGGGTATTGTAAAGAAAAATATTAATTTTCATATGCAAGTGTTTTTTGGACATGTGTTTCACTTCTTCTGAATAAATGCATAAATGATTCAGTCAGAGGGTAGGTATATGATTAACTTCAAAAGAAAAATCTTTGCTTTATGTATTTTGAAGCTGATACTAGGTACATATGCATTTAAATTTGTTATGTCTTCCTATTGACCCTTTTATTATTATGAAATGACCATTTTCTTTCTAAACTGTACTTTTTCTGATATTTGTAATGACACAAGGCTTTGTTTTGCTGGTTGAATGTTAAATATGCTGATTCTTTTACTTTCAAACTATCTGTACCTATGTTTTTCAAATTTGACTCTTGTAAATAACACTTGTCTTTATCTAGTTTGGACTGTATTCAGTATATTTCTGGATGTGGTTGGGTTTAAGACTGCCATGTTCACACATGCTTCTATTCATTTCTTCTATTTTCTTTTGTTCATCTATTTCTCTTTCCCTGACTTTTTCAGTTTTTCTTTTCTTTTCTTTTTTTTTTTTTTTTACTGTTCTTTTAGTGGTTATACTAGCTTAGAAATTACAATATGCGTCCTAAATATTTTACAGTTTACTTAGAGTTAATACTGTACTACTGCATTTAAAATCTAAGAATTTTCAAGAGCAAATAACATTTACCCCCTTCATCTTTTCTGCTCTTGTTGTCTTATACTTTTCATTTACTTATACAGTAATTCTTATAATGAAAACTGTTTTTTTTTGCTTTATACAGCTGTCTTTCAAAAAAAAATAAGATTAAAGTAGTTTTTCATATCTACTAACATATTCACCGTTTGTTCTGTTCTTTTCTAGATTCCATCTGGTGTGATATTTTTGCATATAAAGCACTTTGGTGTTTTTTGTGTGTATGTGAACTAAGTTTTCTCTACATTTGTTTATATGATAATATTTTTATTTCATTTAAAATTTCAAGCATGTACTCAATGAATACAGAAGTATGAATTCTCTTCTTTTGCTTTTTTAAATAAAACCTTAAAAACGCCATTTCATTGTCATTTTGGCTTCCATTGTTTCTGGAAAGGTAATGCTTTAATTCAACTTGTTTTACTGCATGAAATATTTTTTCTCCTCTGCTATCTTTTATGATCTTCTTTTCAAATTTGGTCTTCATATGTTTTAGTATAATTTGTCTACATTGGTTGTCTTTGCATTTATAGTTTGAGATGTATTGTTTTTCTTATATCTGTAATTTAATATTTTTTACCCAATTTGATAAAATTCAGGGCATTATTTCTTGAAATGAATTTTTCCATCTTTCCTCTCCTGTTAGCTTTCCAAATTATCCATATGTTAAACTCCTTACCTCATAAGTTTCTTAGTCCTGCTCACTTTTATAAAGTTCTTTTATTTTCTCTATTTTAGTTTGGATAATTTCTATTATTTTTCTTTCAAGTATTGTTTTTTCCCTCTGTCATCCTTTATCTGTTTTTAGCACACCCACTGACTTTTTCTTTGCAGATATACTTTTATTACTAAATTTTCCATTAGTTTTTGTTTTTTCATAGTTTCTTGTTTCCTCATGAGGTTCCTCATTTGTCTATTCATTATGTTCACCTTTACTTCATCTACTTGAACATCCTTTTAATAACCTCCTTTGAGTCACTGTGTTAATTCCAACATCTGTTCTATCTCAGAATCTATTCACTGTGTTATTTTCTTGATTATGGTTCAGAATTCCCTATTCTTTACACATCTTACTCATTTGTTATTAAATGTTGGCTATTGTAGATGACATATGAGGAATTGTTTCTACAAACTACAATTTTCCTCTGGCAGGCAGTCCTTTTGGTCTTGTCTGCCTTGATTTTATTTTTTGTAAGGCCACATCTCATTTGGTATGTAGAGCATTTACTAGAGAGCGCGACTTTTGCTCTTAAGAGGTAGTTTTGTGTGATCTCAATCGAACACCTGAAGTGCTCTGCTCAGAGTCTTCTCTTGCTGGATCAGAACCTGTGGCCTGCATAACTTCTATTTGTGTGTGGTGAATACGATCTCTTTGCCAACAGTCTGCGGTATGAATCATGTAGACTCCCGACTCCCATCCACTGCAGAGCTCCCCCTGTGGTCTGCGCTGCAAATCACCGCTTCCTTCACAGCCCAGAACGGCAGTCTCTGCCTCCTCAGTTTACTGATGCTGTTGTCGTTCAGCCACTCAGTCGTGTCCAGCTCTTTGAGACCCCATGGACTGCAGGCTTCCCTGTCCTTCACTGTCTTCAGGAGCTTGCTTAAACTCATGTCCATTGAGTCGGTGATACCATCCAACCATCTCATCCTCTGTCATCCCCTTCTCCTCCTGCCCTCAATCATTCTGAGCATCAGGGTCTTTTCCCATGAGTTGGCTCTTTGCATGAGGTGGCCAAAGTATTAGAGCTTCAGCTTCAGAATCAGTTTTTCCAGTGAATATTCAGGATGGATTCCATTATGATTGACTGATTTGATCTCTTGCTGTCCAAGGGACTCTCAAGACTCTTCTCCAACACCACAGTTTGAAAACATCAGTTCTTTGGCGCTCAGCCTTCTTCAGGTACTGTGGCTCAAGTTAGGCTCCACTAGCCTACCTAGCACCAGGAAAGAGCCCTGCAGAAACTAGAATGACCATAACAACACTTGGGTGTTTCTCTTCTCTCAAGGATCCCTGTCTCGACTGGTTCTTCAGTCCTGAAAACAGTAGTTTCATGTATTTTGTCTAATTTCATAGTTGTTTTCAGTGGTAAGAGAAAGTTTAGTACTTGTAACACCGTCATGATCAGAATAGAGGTTCCTAAAATTCATCCACTTCTAATTCAAATCCCTTGAGGTGTGATTTCTTCTGCAAGTGACTCAGACACAGTTGTGTCTTCCCTAACGAACTCATCCTCTGTGTTATTTTACTGTGTTGACATTAATCATTTGCATGTAAATTTGAACAATATGCTATTCCTAAAATTGGGTATCATGCATTTTTCTTCTTTGTATTTGTTGTGCCTAGTATATTATATATATCTTAAGAATATGACAAATAGTTGTCGAATAAATGAAGAATCCTTTTGTCTAACCCTGTAAATTGCAGCTGAAATAATGCTGCTTCTTTTTATTGTTTACTTCTGATTTCCCTTGTGTCTAGATTCAGTATAGCAGAGAAATGTTCGAATATTATGCAAGAAGCTTTGTGGTTACTAAAATGATTGGAAAACTACTAATGAACCCATCAGGATGAATTGCACAATGATTACTTAATTTCCTACTCTTGAAATGTTCCCAATAGATGTTGCCTGCCAACAGAGTAATTTAGAAGCCTCTGAGTAAAGGGCCATTTTTCCTACCAATAATGATATGATGTTTTAATTCATGGTAATGTAACTCAAAATATAAATGTAATGAAATGTATTTGTGTTTCTGTGTGTGCATAACACAATAAGAATGAAAAATACAATCATATAAACCTCCAACTATGATATTTTTATCTAATAAAATGTAAATACTATACCACACTGTTTAATTTTGATGAAACCAGAACTTTAAAAATATTATAAAAACTCTTTCTTTAGAAAAAATCATTAATTCATGAAAATGGAATTTGTGAATTATAAACATTTTTTCCAAAGTAGTGTTAATACACTCCCCTCCCCTACTGACGATGAGTTACTCTTGTTACTAAATTCACCCAGCACATTATTGATTGATTCTTTCAGATTCATATTTTTAGGTTGACAAATATGATACATACCTCAGTGTTCTTTGGGCATGTACTTTCACATGTCCTGGGTAGAGAAGAACCTTTAAAGGGCATCAGAGAAGACTCCACAATGTTCATATTTCTACTGCTTTTATTTTCTTCTTTTGGCATCAAGTTACTTGACAAGAATGGATATATAGGAAGAACACTGCTTTCAAATCCTATATGGTAGTTATGATTTTCATTTTCCAGTTGACTCTGTGAATTAATTTTATCCAGACTGGTGGATGATAGAGGTAAATTATTGAATCCATAATCATCAGCACCATGGTATTTTCCTATGGGATTTCCCCAAGAGCTTCCTTTATTGATGTTTTGAGGATTTGGTAGCACAGAATGCCTACTAAAACCAATTACTGGTGTTTCACTAACTTGGTGACAGGAGAGTTCTGAGCCTTTAAAAGTGAATTCATTCAAGGATGTTTGGTGTGTTTCATCTAATGAATGTTTTCTTGAGTTCCAGTGTGGTGCACTGGGCATAAAAAAGGCATTTTCTTCAATTTCTCTCTGACAGAGTGGGATTTTATTACTGATCTCATTTACTACATTATCAAAACCCAGACTGACTAGGCTAGGAAAAAGAGGTTGAGTCAAGGAGGGGAATTCTTGGTGCTCCTGCTGCTTTTCAGGTGATTCACTGGAATTTAGATCTGTTTTCCAGTAATATGCCATTCTTTATTTTATGTAATCGAGAGGGTTGACTCTGCTCCAAATATCTCTTCAATGATATTTTAAAAGATGATAGGAATTTTCCTAGACAAATGATAAAAGGAAATAAAAAATGTGACTAATTAGAAATAAAAGAGCTTGCAAGAAAGAAACAGGTTGAGGAAATACAGACAATTGTTTTGAAGTTTCCCCTTAGCAAATGAGATGAACCCATGAGTTATATAAAAATCCATCAGGGCTCACAGAATTAAAGTCCAAGGGGGAGTATTGACTTCAGAGACATGCATGAAGCTCCTGTAGGAGAAAGCTAAGTCCACTTCAGTCATGACGGTGGTTTCATGAATGAAAGCCGGTATTCCCCTTTGGATTCCTTTTCTACTGAAAATCCACTGGCTCATAGCAGCGTTATCTCCTTCTATATTCAATCACCTATCAGCATGCTAGTATGCTAAATAAAGTATCTTAACAGTCTCCTCATGATCAGCAGTGAATCCATTCCTAGATACAGTCTTAACTTTTTTCTGCCCTCCATAATTAGTTATCTTGTAGGTTGGCTAGACCCTTTCATATCCTCCCCAAAACTTCTTTAAATAACTGCAAACTTCTCTCATCACTTCTCTAAAGCAACTTTCATTAAGTTTACTGAGGAGAAAATTCAACTGATGTTTATCCATCTTTATTTTAACTTTTCTCTCTGCAAAATTTGAACCCTTTTGTTCACTATACTTATTTAAAATTTTCTTGCTGTGTCCTCCATTGACTCTCTGTGACACTGTACTCTCTGAGTTCTGTGTTAGCACTTTCTCAAGAATCCTCTGCGATATTGTTCATTACCTACTGGACCCCTTGTCAAAGCTTTTCTTCTCAATCATTCTCTGCGTGTAAATTATTTCATACCTCCTATGGCTTAAATCACCCTCTACATATCAATAACCCTAACACAGGATGATTTTTATTATTGTCTCCACTTGGAAATTTTTTTTAACCTCTAAAAGAAAGTCCAAAACCTAAATCAAAATTCACCCCAAAACCTGCTTTTATTCTAAAGTCTTCTGTGACAGAAAATGGCCGAACAATTCACTCAGTTTCTTAGACCAGAAACCAGGGTTTTATCTTTGAGTCTTCCCACACCTTCATTCTTCTACATCCAGTAAATCACCAGTTCCTGTAGGAGACCTTGCTTCCTTTTTTGTCTACCACTGTCACAATCCTAGTCTGAAGTTTTCTAATCCTCTCATCTGCAATATTGCAGTGTCGCTGAAACTACTTCCACATTTTCTACAATTCATTCTTGAGTCTTGTAATCTACTTTTTATGTTACAGTGCTATATTTAAGAGACTAACCATATATCAGCTCTGTATATAACAGTGGTTTCCTACTGTCTCAGGGTAACATGTATAAATGATATACATGTAACATTTTTCTTTCCCATTAAATCATTAGGCTATGTTAGTCTTTTTACTTATAATTCAGTACTTACTGCTTTACTTCATTCAGAGTAGTTGTTCATTTGCATTTATTGATCAAATGATTTAAATGTTGGAAAAATTATAGTTGAATTATAAGAAAATGACACTGAAAAGTATTTCTGTCATTTTGTAGATTTATTTGGAGGAGGAGGTGGCAATCCAATCCAGTATTCTTGCCTTGAAAGTCCCATGGACAGCAGAACTGGACAGGCTACAGTCCGTGGGGGTCGCAAAGGGTTGGGCACGCCTGACTGAGTGACTAAACAACAACATGGATTTATTATTTGCCTTAACAATTATATATGTATTAAGGACAAAAACATTTTAAAAGGTGATTATGATAGTCATTATCTATCAAATACCATTTTCTATCAGTGTGTTTTGCAATGGCAAATGATTTTTATTATATTGGTAATAATGGTCTACTTGAAACTCATAACGACCTGAGACATAAACGAGTTAGATTTATTATATTTCACTCAAGAAACTGCACTGATTCAAGAAAGATGTTCAGGAGATATAAATAAAATGGAACTTCAGGAGATATAAATAAGATGTGTATAGAAGGATATATGAAATAGAAAATTAATCTATAAAATTTATGCCAAACTATTCAAATTGATAGGTCACATAGATACATTATCTAGCTATGATCCCTTTTGCAGATATTGCCATTTTTTCATTTCCATAGTAGTAGTGAAAGGTATGTTTCATTAAAGCAAATTATACACTAACAAAAGCAGAAGATATTAAGAAGAGGTGGCAAGAATACACAGAAGAACTATACAAAAAAGATCTTCATGACCCAGATAATCACAATGGTATGATCATTCACCTAGAGCCAGGCATCGTGGAATGTGAAGTCAAGTGGGTCTTAGGAAGCATACTATGAACAAAGCTAGTGGAGGTGATGGAATTCCAGTTGAGCTATTTCAAATCCTAAAAGATGATGCTGTGAAAGTGCCAAACTCAATAGGCCTGCAAATTTGGAAAACTCAGCAGTGGCCAAGGGACTAGAAAAGGTCAGTTTCCATCCCAATCCCAAAGAAAGGCAATGCCAAAGAATGCTCAAACTACCACACAATTGCACTCATCTCACACTCTAGTAAGGTAATGCTCAAAATTCTCCAAGCCAGGCTTCAACAGTACGTGAACTGTGAACTTTCAGTTGTTCAAGCTGGATTTAGAAAAGGCAGAGGAACCAGATCAAATTGCCAACATCCACTGGATCATCAGAAAAGCAAGAGAGTTCCAGAAAAACATCTATTTCTGCTTATTGACTGTGCCAAAGACTTTGACTGTGTGGATCACAATAAACTGTGGAAAATTCTTA